CAGTACGAAGTAGTTCAGGTTCCCTATAGAATGCTGTGATTATTAGTTGTCTATTGATTAAGTTCACGACGTAGCGTTTAAATAAAAGTTAACTAATGAATCTATAGATTTGGGAGTGTACAATACACTTGTATGCTATTATTACAAAGAATACGAGTAATATCAAAGTATTGTAAGAAGTTCATTGATTATAAATTTATAGAACTCGTTATTAATACGTGTAAAGATTAGTTGTTTTTATACTCTTATTAGAGATTTCTATGACTATTCAAGACTTGACTTCGCATCTATTTATTGTACGATATGCTTATATTTATACTCGTATATATATTTACATACATATTGATCCTCAATTTCGGTTTTGAAAATAACTCATTGATACACAGAAATAATAGTTAAATTTACTTTTTCTCTGTCCTCTAACTTCTTAATTTTAACGAATGATTCTTACTTTATTTCAACAGCAATTGATAGTAAGGATGGGAGTAGTGGGTGATACTGAATAGTTGCGATTAAAATAAAATACACTAAAACACAGGATGAATGTCTGCTATATACTGTACAGAGAGAGGCATAGTGAATGTTAAAATCCTAGAGTTAGTATCAAATTTTAAATATTAGTACAATGCTGAATATACTAGCGTCTGTTTTATGATATAACCAGTGATTTAATTCTTGCCGATCTGGTGTTTTATTTCTTTTTATATAGTTGGTTAACTTCTTAAGACTTCGTAATATTACAGATAAAGTTGCACGCGTCAATGTCGATACTTTAGGTAAGGCTATATTGTGGATGGTAAATAATATTTATATTCAGTAACCTTTATTCAACATTTCATACTATTACTGGTAGTTAGAATATTCGTTAACTGATTCTGAAAGATAAAAGAATCACCTTATTGTTGTTTAAATCTAATAAAACATGCTATCTATTACTCAATTCGCCATACTTTTCGTAACCGATACTGCTAGTATTAAGAGTTAACCCTGTTTCTCACGAATTTTATTAATCATATTAGCTCGATTAAAATTCTATTAAAGTGTTAAAGACAACTATAAATAGCATCTGACCAGTTACTCAATTCTTCTATTCCACAGCTGCAAAATTTTTTTGTATAATCATTGATTGAGTAATTTTATTTATAGTATAAAAACGTTGCTGTCCGTTTACTACAATTTCATTTTATATAAAATAAGAGAATAAATCAACACACGATAAAAGATGTATTCTACTTACACTTTCCTATGATCTATTGTATTGTATTGTAGACGTACACTGTGTATTTTTATAATATAGCAATACAGTATATTAGATTAAAATTTTTTCCTTGATGAGTTTACTTTTCTTTCAGAGTCACTAAGATAATTTCTTTTACTACGCAGACTATAATGTAGATGAACTACAAGCTGCACTTCAAAAATCTAGTGGTATAGCTACACTGCCGATTTTATATTGTAAAGGAACTCTGATTGGAGACTTTGAAGCCTCAAAGGAATCTATCTTGTATGGGCAAATTAGTCAACAGTTAACTATGCATTCAGAATATTCTTATGACCTGATAGTTGTCGGTGGCGGTTCAGGAGGATTAGCGTGCTCCAAGGTTTAATTCCTAAATTTTTAAATCTTAATCATTTAATCATTTATAAATCTATCAATTGTACGCATAATTAAATAATATTAACCTTTCATTCAAATACTATTCGTATTAATTCTGCCTACGAAGGAAGCTGCTGAACAAGGACTTACAGTAGCCCTTCTGGATTTTGTTAAACCAACTCCCTTAGGCTGCTCTTGGGGTTTGTTTTAGGCTACTGATAAATACTTTATATCATTCTTTATTTATAGCTTTGCACCTACTACGAAAACTTATTTAAGCTATTATTTGCATGATCATTAATCAAATGACGATAAAGTGCCATTTCCTATTACTTATTCATTTTGATAATACGATATGATAAAATATTTATTATTAATTAGGTCTCGGAGGAACATGTGTTAACGTTGGATGTATACCGAAAAAATTAATGCACCAGGCGTCTTTGTTAGGTTATCATCATTTATGCATAAGACGACGAATTGATTATACTGGAAGATAACTTTCTTGAATACTTTTATAGGAGAGTCAATTCATGATGCAAGCCACTATGGCTGGGAAATAAATGAAAACTGTATATTTCTATATTTTATATTATACCATATGTAGAAACTTACCGCTAAAAGTGTTAAATTTTAGAAAGTAAATAACTGATTTCAATTATTTTAGGTTCTCACAGTTGGGAAAAAATGAAAGATAATGTTCAAGTAAATTAATTTTTTATTATGATCAAACACGCACTATGCTTATCACGGAGTGATTTATTGATAATGAACTTTGTTTATTACGCTCTAAAACTACTTAGAATCACATTGGCTCAATAAATTTCGGGTACAGAGTTCAATTAAGAGATCGAAAAGTAAAATATTTGAATGCTTACGGCACTTTAGTTGATCCTCACACCATAAAGGTCAATGTTGATTTTTTAATATAAGTTTCATTCATTAATGTAGGCATACTATCCAGTTTTTTCTAACTATTCTACCTATTACATTTGTGACAGGCTGTTGATAGACGTGGTAAAGAAACTTTATTAACTGCTAAAAACTTCGTAATATCTAGCGGTTGCCGCCCACGTTACCCAGATATTCCTGGAGCGAAGGAACATTGTGTAACCAGGTAATCTAACACATTATTTAAGAATACGTAACTGTGATATAACCATAATACTCTTTATGACAAAGCTACATCCGCCAGATAATTACTGCTTTTATTTCTTTAGCGATGATCTTTTCTCTTTGGAGAAGTGTCCTGGCAAAACTCTTGTGATCGGGGCATCATATGTTGCTCTGGAATGTGCCGGTTTTCTGGCTGGGTTAGGATTAGATGTAACTGTCATGGTTAGATCTATTTTATTACGTGGTTTTGACCAGGTATAAAACCGAAAATATATTATATTCCATGAAGATCTATCCAATATCAATATAATTTTTAAGTATATAGTGCTTTACAAAGTAGTCATTTTTGCTTAGGATATGGCAGAAAGAGTTGGAAAGTACATGAAAGACATCGGAATCAAATTTATTCGACCAGCAGTACCACTTAGTGTTGAGGCTATTACGATGAACGATGGAAAAAAGGTATTAAATGTAAATTACACCATGCTAGATAATGGAAACAAGGCTCAAGATAAGTTTGACACGGTATGTAACCTCGTCTCCCTGTTACAAGTATAAGTAAAAATGTAAATATCATTAATTAGTTAATTATAATCTACTGACACTTCCAATTAATGCTCCTAGCTTAATAATTATTATCTGTGAATTCTGTTTTATAAATAATTATATTTAATGATAATTTTTAGGTTCTGCTAGCAATAGGACGTGATCCATGCACCGTAAATATAGGATTAGATAATGCTGGTGTAGTGGTTGAAAAGTATGCATACCTTACAGTGAACAATAATAAACTAAGTGTAGTTTATTTACACTACAATTCAACTCTTTTATGTTGACTAGGAATGGCTATATCAAAACAGTCAATGAACAGACGAATGTGCCCAGCATTTATGGTATTGGAGATATTCTATACGATAAGCCGGAATTGACCCCGGTAGCAATCCATGCCGGTCGCCTGTTAGCTAAACGACTGAGTGGTGTATCGACTCAACAAGTTCGCTAAAAAATATATACTTACTATTTAAGTAGTAGTGTTGACAATTAGTTTTTAAGAATATAACACTTTACTTTTAGTGTGACTACGATAGTATTCCAACCACAATTTTTACGCCTCTTGAGTATTCATGTTGTGGTTTATCTGAAGAAGTAGCTATTGAAAAACTAGGAGATGACGTGGAGGTAGGTATAAGGAAGATTAATAAATTTGTAAAGTAAACTTACATAGCATCGTCTATTAAACTACTCATAAGGAAGTGCTCAACGTAATCATAAATTATCGTTCTTCAGTACAAGTAAACAGTAATTAAAATTGGTTTATATAGGTATATCATGCGCAATTTATGCCCTTAGAATGGACTATTCCACATCGCGATGAAAATAGCTGCTACCTAAAGTTGATCTGCAACAAAAGAGATCAGGTAACGTCGAATTGACATGCGCGAATATATAGTACGATAACTTCATGACATACTAAAGTAGAAATTGTAGATTTGAACATAATGTAACTAGATTATATGTGCTTCGTTCTATAGGAGCGGGTTATAGGAATACATATTTTAGGCCCTAACTCTGGAGAAGTCATGCAAGGATTTGCTACAGCTATGAAATGTGGGGCTACGAAGGCTCATTTTGATGATACAGTAGGAATCCATCCAACAAACGCAGAGGTACATCTAGATAATTCACTGTATTTAAATTGACGTAATCTCCATTAAATCAATCTAACTTTTGTCATAGTGGTTTACGACTCTAAGGATCACACGTCGTTCAGGTCAAGACGTTAAAGTAACTGGCTGCTGAGGTTAAATCTGCCCAAATCTATCAAAAAGAGATACGTTGATAGCTGCTATAGTATTTAATATGTCTGCTTTTTCGTCTTAAAAAAATTAAAACCAATATACTTAACATACCTTAATTTACCCAGTGGCTGTTATTATTAATAATCTAATTTTATGATCTAATAGATCTGTTTTCTGATTAATCACTTTATATTTCTTGAATATCATGTCTATCTCGTATCTACTTGAGAATAATTTGGGTAGTGAAAATCTCTCATAACGCGAGCAGATAGCTGTGACGCTTGATTGCGTTCAATGATGGTTATGTTAGAAATCTTTTAGTTAGATGAACATAATTTGATAATAGCTATTCGTCTCGTATGTAAATCTAGGATAGCATTTTTTCTTTGCTTGTTATCGTGTACCCTTAGGCAGTACACTTAGATACAATGATTTTTTCCTGTGATTCTTTATTCAATTATGCAATGCGGTATGTAAGGATATTTGCATAGCAATTATGTTGTACCATATCCTTCTCAATATGACTCAAACTATACACACCAGACGAAAGAGCTGATTAGGAGTTAGGCTTGTCAGGATTTGTGATTTGTTATCGTATTTAAGTATAATCGTGATAAAAAATAAAATACGAAGGGTGTACCTATATTAAGTCGCCCTTTTTATTAAGCTTTTATCAGTAATTTCATGCGTGCTCACATCTACGATTAGCGACAATTATGCAGCGTATAAGACATTGTAACCGGTGATACTAAGATTGATTCCATATCTAGAGATGATTTTAATCATGGACTACCAATCCTAATTTTACCTCCTGCCTTCGTAAATGATTTAAAAACGAATACAGTCATCATTATTTCTATTTAATAAAAAGTTATCCGTATATATTTAATGACACTTTAATAAAATATACACATATACAGTACAACATCATGAACTGGGTACATACGCCCATACAATCGTGAGCATACTAATAATCAATTTACAGTTAACAGCTATAGCAATTGTCGCTGCTGATAAAAATTTGTACTACATGTTACTAACATACAGTGGCAACAGTAGCCCAAGTTCATCCTTTTTTATATTTTATTGATTCATTTTATCGAATTCTCATTTAAAGATAAAGCACTCAAGAACCACTGCATTAAACCTCTTAAAACGACAAATTGCAATAAAAAGTTTACAGCACCAAGAATATCGCACTGTTTGCAATTTTCCAACATAATTTTAAGCTGCTTCTTGCGCTACTAACATTCTTAATCGAAGAATTTGTATTACTACATGAATTGCATTAAATACATCAGCAATTAAATAAAACTACGAAATACAGTATCATATTTCGTTTGATAGAAGTAGTAAAGGATACAGTAAGTTCTGTTTTATAATGATCAAAGCATGAAATTATCTTACTGTATATGTTTCCGTTCTTTCTTTTCCTTCTTTACTGCAATAAAACTCAACTCAAGAGAATAAATTATTGATTAGATGATTGCTCTTTTGCAGTATTCTCATGATCAACATATCAGCTCTATTTTACAATTAATATCTTATCGTATCGTTACAATTATTCAACTATGTATCTATTCTTTATAATAGTTATCATTATTGACAATCTCCTTTTGATTAGCTAGATTGTTTTAAATTAAAATAACTGTGCTTTACAAATACATTTAAAGAGTACGAATACGTACAGTGCGCAAAGTATAACAAACGGGGTCCCCCCCAGTATTTATCAATTATAGTACCATTGTTATTATGTAACCTTACATGTTCTAAATGTTGAAAATTTTCAGAGAAGGAATGGAGTCATGTTTATTAATTGAATATTTAAATATAGTAATCGGGTGATCATCACTGAATGAGATCATATTAGAAACTAAAATAAGATTCAAATTACGTATGTTCACAGAGAAATCTTAAGTATTTTATAATACGAACGTGGTAGGCTTCTGCCGAGATCAAAATATAAATTTTACGGATACTTAACAGCATATCTAAGTAAAGCTGCGCTATTTTATCGCTAAAAATATGATGCGCAGATTTTAATAATGCTTTCATTTTAAAGTTTAATTACAATATGACTTCTTTTGTATAGTAGCCTCTAAGACTAGACTAATTCTAAGCGATGCTCATTAATTTGTAATACCATACAATTAGTTACGGAAAGACCGCGTAGGTACCGTAACCTACGCTACAGCATAATCCATAACTAATACAAAGAAAACATACTATTGCCATTTGATTAATTAAGTGGTAGATTGAATTCAATACTATAATAATCTAATTTAGCCCAAATATATATGATTTTGAACAATTGTATTTTAATAAAAATAACATTGTGTCTAAAATCTGTTATAAACTAATATGAAAACATATTCGATCATGGAATTTCAATGATAAATAGTAACCAACTAACCATAGATGAATTATAAAATGATAGAAGTTATGGCTTAGCAACTAGTATGTGAATAACTAACCTGAGGATTATTCGATCTACAAATTCATTAAAAGTTCATAGGTTAATGATGTTATACAGTACGGGTAAAACTCATTGTCTGTCAATGTCTCGCTTAATCACGGAATATTAACTTTAATATATTACTGTACATTATACATAGTCGTAGAGAATATCGAATGAAAATGAGCCATTATCATACGTGGGAAGAAACTTGTATTTTGGCATTGCCTTCAATTACTGCCGATATCCTCCGTGATTCCTACTTGGTGTAAAACTCAAATACTAATTAACTCTTACTTATTAGAAGATAGCAGTAGCTTGATGTATCATTACGTTAACTTATCGCATTTAAATTCTACTAAAGGTACAATTATATTTCTAGCTGTAGCACGCAAAGATTATCTCGTCTAGTAAAAAAAGCATATCGAAAACAAGTAAAGCCTGCAAATAGCTGTAAATAGTATACTATATATGTTTTCAGACAAAATAATCCTACTTCAAATTACGTTAGAGCTATTATCCAATTTATAGCTATGCTACACGAAAATTATATCAACTTGTTCTAATAATATCGCAAAAAATGTGTAATATCTACAAGTTATGGTTAAATAAAAAAGCGTGAAAAATAAAAAATTTTTGTAGCTTTTAAAAATCGTGATGATTGCATAAAACTATACCATACAGTTAAATATTTTTCGAGTATCTTAGACTAATAAGTTGCAATAGAATCTAGTAAAGCTAATCATTATTGTTATCTAAAAAAGATGATATTTAGCGTATTTAAGACTATCTAATATATAGCTGCAGTATGCAAAATAAAAGTAAATGATATAATATTACTCTCTAAGATACTGGTTGGACGTTGCTAATCAGCTATAATTGTCGCCTAATATTATATAACTCTTTGAATGTATCATATGATAGTTATCCACCGCTAACTCACAAAGCTTAGGTATTGACTTATGAAAGTACGTTAATAAATTTGGACTAACTACTATTAATCGATAATTACCACGAAATAGTCATTGTCGTATCAGAATCGGTATATGAACTAGATACAAGGTTTTGAAAACTTTTTAAATACTTCTACTATCGATACATTTCGTATAGTTCTTATTTAATAATATATGATATAAAAAAGTAGATAATCAATTTACGGTACAACAAAGCTAGTAACTATACGTCGTCAGGTCATTGATAAATTTATATTGCTGTATTAGTTATATATTTCAGGTCGAAGTTATTTATTTTCATCTTTGAAAGCTCTTTAATCTACTATATTCTTAATATATAGTACATTAGGAGCGTGAGATCCTTCAGCTTGTGAATTTTTAGCCGGTTACATAACAATATTTAGACACATTGTCATTCCGTAACATTACTATATGCACCAAAAATTGGTGAGTTCTTTTTAAGATTGTTTTATCTTATTTTAGTGCTTTCCATTTTTAAAATTAAAAAGAAATTTCTTTATAGATGAGTATGTGAATACTATTCTTTTAAGCGAATCATCGATATAAAGCATGTTCGTAACCATTAAAATCAATAGATGGCAAGAAAGACCCCTAAGTGCGAGATAAAGTTTCCGCTAGCTAAATACCATATTCGATCTGTTCCATTACGAATTTTATTTTCTATTCCAGCTGGTCCATGTAGAAGATAACAATAATTAAAATAAACTGACAATGAATATAATTTAGATGATATTCCAATAAATTATTTATAGCATATGAACGCTGAATAGAATAATATTGAATAGGAAAAATATCGTTGTATCACAATAAGAAATTACATAAGACTCTTATTACTCGTGATATTTTCAGATATTAAATGATTTTCAACTTGATTTCAATAGCAATTGATAAATCATCGTTAAGAGAAAGCCGTTCAAGAACGACAAGTAAAGTTAGCTATTCTTGAAACGCAACTCGCCGTCTAATCAAAAATTAATCTACAAGGTAAGAACGATAGTTAGATGATCAATAAAATATTAATTCGCTATGTCAGAAATATGTAAGCCAATAAGCTTAAATCATGAACCAACTCTATTCTTATGCTACACTCTCAATTAATTAATTCATTATTAGTGTCATGAAGGTAGTTATCGCATTGGGTTTCCTATTCTGTATTAAATAACTTGAAACTTAATGACGTGTATGAAATAATAAATTGCCTTTCCATTTTCATTCCAAGTTTATAACTTAGTATCGAAAACCGGAATCTGTGATATTAACTACGCTACAGTTTTAAAATTTATTATCATACGTATATAAATGTCCGTACAGCCTATCAGGGTAAAATTTTACTGAATTAGTATTTTAACATTAATAGATCCTAATTTCAATATACTTGTATGAAGCTTGCGGTCCTAAACTTTTAAATATTATAGACGTTTGTAGCGATATACTTGCAAATTCAAAATGATAGATGATGTAAAAGGATAAAGAATATTAATTATGCAACATTATTACAGCTATTGATATTCACTTTAACTAGTATCATTCCCAATTTAAAATGATATTCTTCTTGTTTACAATAACTTATGA